CTTTAAAACTTTTTTTTTTCTGTGATCCGATCCGTGATCCGATCCACGATCCGATCCGTGATCCGATCCGTGATCCGATCCTGGTTTTGTCGACGCCGCTCTCTGACAGCTCAGGGAAGTGATCCGCCGTTTGTCACACAAGAGCGTGGTTACAATTACGCATGAGCAGAATGTTATTTGCAGCAAAACACATTTAGACGGTATTACGCATGAGCAGACCATTATTTGTGGGCATATTTGTAGGTCACGTGGTGGGCTTAAATTTCGACCAATGAAAAGGAAGAAAAATGCAGTCAAATGATAATACGACTTGATAGAAAATCCGGCTATCTGTTAACACTTGGCAATTTTGATCGAAAACTCGACTCCAATACAACGAGGATTATTTTAGTAAAAGCGAAAGAATAGCCAAAAAGAGAGCAAACATAGCTAAGCTTCGCGAATTGACGTGGGGCAACATGTCGTGAAGTCACTGATCAAACAAAAAGTTAATAGTACATTCGAGATGGCTTGTTCGGTGTGCACAGACGTTGTTGCCCAAATAAATAATGTTTCATGGAGTTTGTCTTTTTTTAGTTGCTAAACAAGTTACAAGAAAACAGCAGGATCCAGTTCCTAAAAGCTGGGGTTTATTTAAATATAATCTGTCTGTTTCAGTAGCACTTTATGCCCTTCGCCAAGTGTTTTAGGTGTTTTTTCGGGCGTGTAGATGAGAAAATTTACTAAAACCCACTGCGCGTGTTTTTGTGTTGTCGTTCTTTGCGCGAGCATTGGCTGTAAACAACGAGTAATTGCTAGCATCTCGCATTACCCTCTCTCTGCAACAGTTGAGTATCGTAGTTAGCACTTAAAATATATCACCGACGATTTTTATTAGCAGTAGAAACGAAAGGGAATGTTTGGGAAACGAACAGTTGCAAACGATGCTAGTATCGCTGTTCAAGCGTATTTTCACAACACTGAAATGAAAGAAAAGCAAACAACGCGAGGTTTATCCAAGCGAGACTTCTTCATTCCGTTAAACTACAGAAATATCTCACGCATTTTCCTCTTGACTATTTTTCAAGCATTTGAGACAAGAGCTGTAAAATTTTCACAGACTATTTTCTAGCCACTGAGTTGCCGCTTCCGTTGGCGAGCTTTGGCCGGTGTCACTGATATTGTGATATTGACATTAATGGCGTGAAGAGTAGAATTTAGCCATAAATTAAAATTCTACCGAAAACTTGCACATCAACGAGAAATTGCGAAGAGAAGACATGTCGTTCATTTAAATAAACTGAGAAGGCTGTATCCCATTGCACTGCTTTAAGTTGAGTATGGTTTTACGTCGATTAGCAAATTAATAAAGGAGCTCTTCGTTTTAAACAGTTCAGTAATTATTGGTCTCTTTGAAATGCTTTCATGTGCATCTTTTAATCGTTAAATTTTCGCTTCAAGCATTCAGTGGACTTTTCTTGGTTTATACACTCACCTTTTATGGTCTTGCAGTCTTTTTCTTCAGTTTTACACTTCTTAAATCATCATTAAACACGGGAAGAAATTGCAGACGTCTGTTCTGTGTTATAAAATATAAAGACAAAACACATTCAAGTGCAGCCTGAGTAAATGTAGACATTTGATATACCACCGTTGTTTTTTCATTTGTATTTTTAATTTCAGTTCAACAGCGCAAAAGCTGTCATTTTTGGTAAAATTTCCTGTCAAAACTTTTATGTTAACTAGCATGAAGTCGCTCGGGGTTATTAGTGTTTTCATTGAATGGGTTGCAGCAGCTGTCGTGTATGATAAACTTCAAGTTATTAAAGCTGAAAGGTTTAATGAATAACGGTTAATACATACTTTACGTCCTTGGACTTAGTAACTGGAAGAGATAAAAATCACTTCGGTTGATAGTGCTCCAGCATGTGAGATTGACTATGTTTTCCTCCAGTCTTAATTTTAAGGCTTTGTCTCGTCGCAGCTTTGAGAGGTCTTCTTTTCGTTGTCGGAATTTCGCCAAGTATTGACATAAGTAAACGATAACTTAAGTACGTGGGGCAGGGGTTTCCCAGACGTCCAAGTAAGAATTCTTGACCAATGTTATATTACATTAGTAACTTTATCACGCAGCGCAGAAGTTTCTCAAGGCTGGATTCCGCAAGCACATAAGCATTAGCACACAGTAAAATGTTGACTTTTACTGCCCGTAGTAACAAACATTTCCAAGCAAAAGGTGCTACTTTACGCGCATGTTCAATGCTTATGCTTTTTCTTGAGTGGAAACCAGCCTTCGGGCATTTTAATAACGCCTTCACAATTACCGCCTTATTAGCGTCAGTTCTCAACTGATGAAAATTCTTTCTCTTACTAAAAATCCCCAACTGATGAAAAATGTAGATCGATTGGCTGATCTCAATTGATTATTCGCAAATTTTAGGAAATACATTAAAGCTAAGTCCGGTATGTTTATGCGAATGGCTCAATTCATGTTTATTCAAATTTAAAGTAAGTGGTGAATAACCTCCATTTGTAATTAAAAACGGCAGATTTTCGATTTTCGTTTTTTAGTCCTCGTTTTTTGTGTGAACTGCTCTTGTCAAGTAGCTTTTAGTTTTCTCCTTTCAAGATAGTAATAAAAAAAAATACAATCTTCATGTCATCGAAGAATGAAAGCCGCGAGATCCTTAACTAGCCAAAAAAAAAAAAAAAATGATGAAACTAATTATCTCAGATAGCTTTGAAATCTACATATTATATGGAGTTAATTTTTATCCGATTTGATCCATGTGTGATCGACAGAAGACGAAATATGGTCAAATTTCGGTCTTGAATTTTAGTTATAGCATAGGTTCTCTGAAGTGTTAATTCATTGGTTTTATAACGGTGTCGAGATTATACAAAGGTTGCTAGAGGTGTAGTTATCTTGCTGAGGCCCGGACCAAGCCTCGTTCCGTTTTGTTTCAACGAAAAACTATGGGAAAACGAGATTCCTTGAAACACCACCTCAATTCACAATGTGAACGTTTATTTGCAGGGGTTAATGTTCTATTCTTCTGTGGGTAAATTACTATGCGCGGAGTATAATAGGCGTGAAAACGGATGAAAAGCTTGAAATAACTTTTGCTATCCTCTTTTCTTAATATAAAGTCTTAGTATAATTGAGTTACCTGAACGCTGGCTTATCCAAAGCTCGACTGTTCTACTGAGCCGGCGTATCTACCATCACAAACACGAATCGTATCTACGCGGAGAAACTTCACCACCTTGCACCTGGTGATTTGAATTTTGAGGCGAATATGTATAATTACCACGATTATCAGTAGAGCAAGGCGCGACTGAAGTTTGGTGACCAGGTTTAACGTTCAAATTGTGTTGTTGTCACGGGCAACTGGCTCCGTTTCCAGTGGCAACTTGTCGGCCTTTGACGTCATCAGCATTAAAGCGCGCGAAATTGTAGGCGACGATATTGTTACCATTGGAAACGAGGAAAGTTGCCCGAGGCAACACCGTAACTTTAAGGCCAAAA